TGTGTTTAAAGTTATTACAGAGGTTTTGGGGAAAAAAAGGGGGAGGTGTTTACTTATAAAAGCATCTGAAAGTTTGGAAAGAACACGTTCAGGGAACAAACTGGGAAACTTCTCTATGCCATGGAAAACTCCTTGAGGAAAATCCCCCTCTCCTTCTGTGCCTCCCACCCCTCAGTACCACAGGTCGTGATTTTGTGCTTGATAATGCAGATTATGTCCTGGAACGTGGAGAGTGTTAGAAACAGGTCAGGTGTAAGTGGTGCCTGTGCTGCTGAAAGCATAAACATGGTACAGCCACTCCTGAAAATACATCAGCCCACTGGCTTGTTGTGCCCTTGATGTAAGACATTCAAGTTTGATTTTTATATTAAAAAAAATATATAATTTTGCACTTCTGGGTGCCAAGTGAATGCAAAGGGTCTTTGGTACTTGAATCATGAAATGTTTTTATGGAGAAATTTCCTCTGCCCAAGTCCAGCTGTTGGTGTTGGAGGCACTTCTGATCAGCCACCTTAATGCAGTGAAATTATTAACGGTGCAAAGAAGGCTGGACAGGGGTTTGAAAGCTTCCCTGGGAGTGGAGAGCAAATAAAACTTCCTCTTTGGTTTTGATAAATCACTTCTGGGAGGGAAGACTGCTATAAAATCATGGATGATATGAGGATTACGAGGAGAACAGGGAATGATGGCAGTAACCAGGGAGCACCCACTGAAATAATTGGTTTCCCCCTCTCTCCTTTCCTCCTTTATGTCCAGTGATGGCAATGTAATATTGCTTTTTTTTTTGGGGGGGGGTTGGTTGGTACAGGCTGGCACAGCAGCTTTTGGCGCTCTGGTGATGCCTTTCCAGAGGGTATTTCTAGGATCTCACTGCATTTTGTTTTTTTTTTAAATCACTTTCTTAATAAGAAAGGTGAAATTTGAGATGGGAGAAAGGGGAGTCCACTGGTTCACAAGGTGCTGAAAGGTAACAGTTAAGGAAGACCTATAATGCAGAAAAACTAATATTTTTTTTGGCTAGTTTTCCCTGGGAAGTGTCACAGTTTAAGCTTTAAGTGTTAGGTTTAAGCACAGAGTGACAATCTTCTAATTAAAATATTCAGTATTTTCTTAAAAGCAACTTTCAGATTATTGCAAAGTAGCTTTTTTTTTTTTTTTTTAATATGGAAATGAATTAAATGGTGCTTGTCTGTTAGTGATAATCCATGTCTACACCCCTTCTGAGATATTCAGTGTTCCTTGAGGTCTCCTTTAAGAAAAACAGATAAAGAGAAAAGTTTACTATTTCCCAAAGACACAGAAGAGATTCTCATCAAATATAAGTTGTATGTTTATAACAACACTTTCAAGAGTCTTTGCACTTCTGTGTATCCTAAATAAAATCACTCAGAGCAGATTCCTTGCAGAGGGAAATAAAGTAATAGAGGTAAAAGTCTAAATGTGATGAGGATTTAAAAACCAGTAAGTGGCTTATTTTTACTGTAGCAAGAGATTAACAAAATGACTGTCTTAATAGTTTATCCCTCATTTTATGCTCTCTGTCAATCAGCCAAATGAGTGAGTAATTACGTGGCAGCATTAGCAGATGATGTAGTTTGGATGAGCTGATGCCAGGGAAGACTGGGAGACCCCCAGGGACACTGAGAGGGATCAGCTGAGTGAATTTATTAAAGCAAAACAATGTGTGTTACAGGGAAGGAGACCTCAGAGTGTTATATTTTAATTGATTTCTGAGGAAGGCTCGGGTGTCAGCACAGGCAGCTCTTAAAAAACTCATTTTGGCCCTGAAGTAACAGTTGGGCTTGTGTAAGACTGGTGATGGTTGAACACCTCTGGTATTTATCATAACTTTAGTAAATATTCCTGATAAAGTTATTTCTAACATGGCCTTAAAAAGTGGTTCAGCTTAAGTATAACTTTTTTTTTTATTTTGAGATGAAAATAATAGGTCTTGAATTGCAGATGCAGATAAATTACAATCCCCAGGACTCTGAGAATGTTGATTGTATTTATCCTCTCAACAAGACAGTCAAGGTTTGGAGGAATGTCTGTGAAATAGTTGTGGAAAGAGAGGAAAATCTCTTGCTGCTCCAGTCTCTTCACTTGACAGCTTGGGAAGTGTCTGGTGAAGCAAAAAGTCAAGAAAATTGTTCTACTTCTCTCAGGCTGTAGAATTCACAAATAAAGGGAGAATTTTCTGTGTGTGGATGCTGAGAGTACATTAAATTAGAATTTCAAACTAGCAGATGGTGCTAAAATAAATTAAAGCTTTTATACTTCGCTTTTCCTTTTGCCTGGGATTTGTTTAGGAGACAAAAAAAAAAGACTTATTTATCTTAGCTTTTATTTATTTGTTTGTTTGTTTTCAGGGCACCAATGAATCTTTCTTATTCTGGCAATGGCCCTGATATGTTTGGGCTGGTGTCAAGCATTTTAGAGGAGCCAAACAA